GAGAGGAGGAAGGGAAAGGGAGGAGGCAGGGGATTAGCAAAGATTGTGAAATGTGATGGTTATTATTATCCAAAGTGCATGTATGAAGACAAGAATTGGGTGTCAACCTACTTTATAAACAGAGATATGAGAAATTGTAGTATATATGTGTAATAAGAATTGTAATGCAAAAAGTACACGTATAAAGACATGAATTGGCATGAACATACTTTACACAAAGATATGAAAAATTGTGCTCTATATGTATAATAAGGATTGTAATACATTCTGCTGTCGTGTATTTAAAAAAATAAATAAAAAAGAAACTGTATAAACTCTAAAATAATAATTCATGAAGATATGATAAAAATATTTTAAAGTTTCTCTTGGGATATGAAGAATGATTTTTATATACTTTGTCTCAAGCCTAAGAACTGAATTTGCCCCAGTTAATTATATTGGCTTAGTCACATTCCTAGAATTCAATCACTATCAGAGGTGACACTGTAATAAACATTTGTTCTATAAACCTAAACCAGGCTCATTTTAACAAATGCTTCTAGAATTTCAGATTCTCAAAATATTGCTGTTGGATTTTCAAATCCCACATAGCAGACCTGTGAAATTTCAAATAACTCAGCCTAACTGAATCAAACTGAAGAGATATATTAATTATTTTTTACCTTTAAGAATTCCCTGGATCACTTGCAATTTCATCCTTATATCTAAACTCAACAAAAAGAGTGGTTAATGTACCTTTACAACATAAGTCTTAGGTTAGAGGGAAAAACCCCATTTTAATCGATGAATCCTTTCATCTATTAAACAGACAAGATTACAACTCTAATAAGAGATATGGAGGATACCAATGAAGCATAAAGGGCCTGGAAATTAGCTGGCAGAATTTGTTTCAAAGTAATTTCAAAGTTCTTCTTTTCTTCTTTTTTTAGTACCAAACCAAAGAATAGCAGAGGAAAAGCAGGAAAAAAACCAGCACTTTTTGAGTGAACTCAATTCTCTTGAAAATGTTTGTGCTGCTTCCATTTAATCAATTCTTTGTTCCAAGAAGAAAAAAGTGGGAAGTCAACAATATCCAGCCACTGTGATAACCGAACATTAGGCGCCCCAAGTTCCCACTTCAATTTCTTGTACTCTTGCTTCCTCTCCTATTTTAAAGGAAGTCATTAGAGTGCCTCCCTTTCGATAATGAAGCAATATGGATCCAGAACACCCACCTGGGCTTGTAACTCCCTTTCCCCAAGAAGGAAACAGATAAAGGTGACAAGAACAATGACCCACCAAGAATGAAGAACAGAAATTCTGGTAGGAAGAATACAATCCTTTTTTAAAGGTTCATTTTGAGCTTTCTTTCTCTGGAGCAGTATTATAGAATGAGAAGGTTTAGGGCGAGGTGTGCCTAAGCTTAGGGCTTCAAAGAGTGAGAAGGGATCAGGTAGAGACCAGAGGAGTTTGTGTAGGGCTGGCTGGGACTCAGGCTTGACTGGAGAAGGATGGAGAAGGGCTGAGGTCATAAGAACAGGAGAGGAGGGCTCTGTAGCAGAAGCAAGGTAAAATGAGCACATATTTGGTTGCCAAGGACTCTAATTGTCATGGCAGACAGCAAAAAAATCATCATCACCACACCAAAAGGAAGGGAAAGTATTCTATGAGGCCATTATATGCTATGATGATGATTTTTTTTTACTACTTTTCCCAAAGACAGCAACACAGTTTTCATTATAGTATAATGTTTAACAGAAAAATGAAGAATCAGGGAATAAAGTGGTTGGAGTCTCAGTTCCTGGTAAAGTCAATATTGCTGACAAAGCACATAGAACATGGGGAGTACTTTCCAAGGAGAAATGGCCCCAAGGAAGTAGAATATGCTGCTCATCCCTCCTGGAGTAATTTATGTAATCAGAAGGACAATAAACAATGAAAGGATCCCAGAAGGAGATATTAGCAATCAAATCTGTAGAGAGGAGATGTTAGAAACAAAGTGTAGGAGGAGTTGGTTTAATAATCCAACTTATCAAAAATCCAACTAATATTCTAAAAGCTTTCCTTAAGGAGATGAAATTGCTTCAATTTCTTATATTCCTGCATCTTCTACTATTTCCTATACCTTTTTTAAAAACAATGAAACAAGGTAACTTAAGAGGAAAGGGTAAAATATTCCAGATGATAGCTCAAAGTGAGACAAATAATGACAGCTAAAAGTGAATACATATACTTACTATGTATAAAGTTCTATGGTAAGTACTTTGCATACATTTTTCTTTTTTTAATCCTTCTATAATCTCTAGAAGATGATATTCTTATTATTCCAGTGAAACTGATTCATACCTTCCATATCTTGCTTGCATTGGCAAAACATTAAAAAAAACCACACTATACTCTCAAAGAGATGATTCCTGTCTTTAAGCAGAGAGAATCTGTAGTTTGGTTTAATTGGAACCCTGACCCCTAAGAGAAGCCTTACAGGATACATTATCAGTGGCCTTAGGAATCTGTCTGGGATTCAATTAAAGCTCATCATCAAGATCTTCACTATGATCCATGAGGCAACTGGGAATCACCTCAGAGTTTGGACAATGACCTATTCAGGCAACCCAACAACAGATGAGTCTTGTTCTGCGTGGGGCATATTCAAAAAGGGTAAGGATTGGGGGACCAAGAAGAAGTTAAGAAAGAAATGTACTGCAGTTGTCCTGGTTAGTGAAGAGGACATCTTTGCTGGACACAGTGGTACACCCCTGTAATCCTAGTGGCTCAGGAAGTTGAGGCAGGAGGATTGTGAGTTCGAAGTTAGCCTCAGCAAAAGCAAAGTGCTAAGCAACTCAGTAAGACCTTGTCTCTGAATAAAACACAAAATAGGACTGGGGATGTGGCTCAGTGGTAGAGTGCCTCTGAGTTCAGTCACAAGTACCCCACTTCCTCACAAAAAGAGGACATCTATGATGGCAGGGAACAGGAAAGTCAGGAAACAGGGGAAAATTCAGAAGGTGACAGTTTTGTAATTATTTATTCACATATAAGGCAAGTGCAAGCAAATAGAGAGTAATAGGACTTATGGGGGGGAGAGAATTAGCTCTCTAAAAGCTACAGTCCCCCATCTACAGTCAGTAGACAGAAAGAAAGGAGCAAGAAATAATGAACTTATTTGTGAGGCATGAGATAAATTAGAGAAAAATGTTATCATGTAAACCAGGCCTGGGACAACACTGTCCCATAAAAATATCATGAGTTATGGGTGAAATTTAAAACTTTGTACTTACCACATTAAAAAATGTAAAAAAACCCACAATTTTAATAGTATGTTTTATTTAGCCCAATATATATACCATTTTAACAAGTTATCAATATAAAAACAGGATACTGTACATTCTATTAATAATGTGAAGTCTTCAAAGTCTGACATCTAGCTTATAATACTTCTCCTGGCACTGCATTCAGCTAGTATGAATACTGCCTGGTAGCCACATGTGAGTGGTGGCTAGTGCCCACTGAACTGGAAGCACAGGTCTGCTTAATATTTAATGATAAAATAGTGGTCAGAGGTATCAAGAAACACTGAAAGGTTCAGAGTAGAATGATTGGATTTGGTGGAAGTCCACAGATTTGGTAAGGTAAGGTTTAAAATAGTAGCACATTTCCTATTTTATGGAGGATGCACTGAAGTGAAACCATTTGGTCCACACACAGTCAGCACTCCCATAATTCTTTATTGGGGAGAAGAGAAGACAAGCATGGGGAGCAGATTCTAAAATAAACTTATTACTCATGGAAGACACTTCTACTGTCTCCTCTTAGTCTTTTAGAGGCTTGCCCTCAGCATCCAGAAGCTCTAAGCCTCTTGTTTTTTTAGTGGTAGAAACTGGGCTTGGCCAAAGCAAATGACCATCTATATCAAATATAACCTATTACCTCCCCAACTCTTGGGAGAAGGAGGCCAACTCTTCATCTGACCTCACCATTCCTTTCAGCCTGAAATGCTGCCACATGTGTGAGCTGTGGATCCTTATGGTTCTCAAGAAATTGAACCACAAAGGCTTCTGGCTACAGTTACTTTCTCTTTGTGGGATACATTGGCCTAGAGAGATGTGCATGAGTCTGAAAAGAAAAGCTGGTCTGAATTTAAACTGGTTCTCCTAATTACTAGTAAAGTTGGACTATCACACAAATATCTATTTATATTCAAGAGCTTTAAAAATTACTTCTAAAAACAATGCATTCCATTTAAATAATGGCTTGTTTAATTTGAGGTTTCTTTATATCATCTGAAACACACAAATGCATATTATTTTGCATCAATGTCTGATTGAAGGGTGAATAGGCACAAACAATATTCACCAAGTTTTTGCTAATAATCACATGTAAAGGAGTCACTATATATGTTATACAATCTACTTACACCATGTAATGTCACATAGTCTATGATGTATAACTACTGTAATACAAGTCTGCATGCCATATATTACATATAACTTACAGTGGCATATAGAACATGAGCTGCTCTCTGAATAAGCATACGTACATTTTATCTATGTGACACCACAGTCATCATCACTTCGTCAGCCCACTTCAATATGTAAACCTGTATGGTGGTTACCCAGTACAATAATGCTGCTTACAGCAGATTACAGCAATGAGGCATCCTGTAATTGGACCTTCCTGTCAGACTTCTGTTTATCAAACCTACAGTCATGAACCCAGACATACTATCATTTAGGTTTTAGTAGTAAGTAAAAATTTATAGGTCTCAAGACTTGGCACCATTGAACAAATTCAGATCCGTAACTTTGTTTTGAGCCAGAATGAAATACATTTTTTTTCTGAAAATTTATACTTATAGGCCTATCACACACAGTACAGGGAGATGTACCACGGTGCTTACTGAGCATTTATAAAATTAGGAAGACAAAGAGAAAAAAACCAAGGGGTTGACCATTTCCTTTTGACCTAAACAAAAGGCCTAAATAAAAAGTGTAGGAGCAAGTTAGCCAGTTCCATGTACTCACCTGCATTGGAGCCAGTCAAATTATAGCGTGCATTCAGCTTCTTGATAATGTTCTCATGGATTTGGTACCACTCACTCTCTGTATTACACCTATGAAAATAATCACTTGGTTAAACTTTACTGAAACATGGATTAAACAACGATCTTGAATGCACACCTGCTCTTTTTATTATGAACACTACAAGGTACTTCCCTAAATCTCCTCAGAATTCCTCAAAATTTGCTGTAAACAACTGATGGTTTTAGTATGGCTATGCTAAGATGAGAAGTAATGCCCACGCCTGGTGAGGCACGGCCACCTACCTCATCAAAGCAACAGCTGGGATGAACTCACAGATTAAAAGTGGCCCCCAAAGAGAAAAAATGCTGGAGAATAATGTATACAGTGGAAGATAGAAGAAGCCATCCCACCTATCCAATTGTGAAACATCAATTGCCACTTAGTACATTGGCTTCCACTTTCCTTATTTCAACCCAGTGGGGAAGGAAGAAAGAAGGGTTACTATCCTATTAGATAGTTAAGTGACTCTAGAGCATATGCTCTTTAACAATAACACCAAAAAACTCCATATAAAATCAAAAGCCCCCTTTTAGTCTCAGACAAGGTATCTGTTAATGTTCTTAAGAGTGCCAGATAGACTAGGGGCTTGGTCACCTTAACATTTAGAAATGTCTTACAAATTGTTTCTAACAAGCACTTCCTGGAGTGTTTTACTAAATTCCCGGTTCCTCTCTATTGTGTAGTGACTGTTTTGACTGGTTAGTATTCTCTTGAAATGGCCTCATGATTTGCTGAATTGTCATTTTTAAGGGATTTCTCTTCTAGGAAGAATTACCCAAAGCCTTATTTGATGCTTAAGAAAAAAATCAGAAAATAAAATACCACGAAGACCAGCACTATTTATTTTCATGAGAGTGAATGTCTGCCATAGGCAGAGCCAGGATTCATGAGTCTCCTTCATCTGACTGCATAATCAAGGGTGATGCATGTAACTGTCAGCCCTCAGTGTTCCCTGTGGCATGATAAACATGGCCCTTACAACCCACACCTGGAAAGACTATTCTAAGAAGAGACTGTGTTTTCAAAGAATTTCAATTTTCCTAAAAAGCAACAGCACATACCACCATCATCATATTACTATATAGTAGTATGAAGTAACATCTGGAAGAACACAACCTGATACACTGAGAGCTCTAGTTCTAGTATTGGACCGTCTTGATTTCAAATCTGGTTCTCATTCTTATTAGCTGCATGACATTGAGCAAGTCATTTAACTGTCCCCTTATGAGAAAAACTGAGATTACAGCATCTGCTTCACAGTTTGTTTTGAGGAAAAAAATGACAAAACAGGCTTAACATGCTGACCAGAGTCCCTGGTAAAGCACACAGTAAAGGTTGGCCGTTACTGATCATTTTTATTTCAAATAAATGATGTTTTAAAACTCACAGCAGAATCTGGAAATATTACTTATAGATTTCTTCCTTTTTATTTGTTCTTTCTAGTTATACATGACAACAGAATTTATTTGGACATAATTATAAAAGCGTGGAATATAATTTGTTCTAATTCATTCCCTAGTACTTCCCCTTTCCCTTTCTTCCTCCTATCCCCTCCCCCATTCCCTAACCTCTACTCTATTAATCCTTCTGCTGTTTACTTATGGTTTTTTTAAAACCATCTGTGGATGTACACATGATGAGATTCACTGTGGTATATTCATGTATGCACATAGGAAACATAGGTCAGATTCATTTCACTGTCTTTCCCTATCCCATCCCTTCTCCCTCTCCCTTCAATCCCCTTTGTCTACTCCACTGATCTTTATTGTAATCTTTTTTATTTTGGATTAGCTTCCAAATATCAGAGAAAACACTGAATCTTTGACTTTTGGGGACTGGTTTATTTCACTGAAGTATGAGAATCTCCAATTTCATCCATTTACCAGCAAATGCCATAAAGTCATACTTCTTTATGGCTGAATAATACTCTATTGTGTATATATACCAAATTTTCTTTATCCATTCATCTGTTGAAAGGTACTTAGGTTGGCTCCATAGCTTAGCTATTGTGAATTGTGCTACTATAAACACTAATGTGGCTGCAGTACTGTAGAATGCTAATTTAAAATCCATTGGATATATACCAAGGAGTGGAATAGCTGGGTCATATGGTGGCTTCATTCCTAGTTTTTTGAGGAATCTATGTATTGCTTTCCAGCCTGGTTGCATCAGTTTGTAGTCCCATCAAAAAGTATGGAGAGACAGAAGGTAGTTACTACAGATTTAAGTCCAGCCATTAAAAATGAGGGTTGACTTGTGACAAAGAGAGTAACAAGTTATGCTACCCACTAGCTTAAAAAGTTTTCAAGTTTAAAATCAAGGTCACAGGTTTTATCCCTCTTAAGAAGGGATAAAGAGAATTTCCAGTCCCAAACCACAGGATGTAGATAAATCTTTGTCAATTACTTGCTACAGAGGTCACCACTTGGTGGAGAGTAGATAAATCCATGAAACACTGCTGTAGTGGGTAAAAAAATAAGCAATTGAAGTATGTGTCCCATAGAGGGCGGGCTGGTTGTGACCACCATATATGAAAAAAACTGTTGGCATATGTTAGATCTAGCAACACAAACTCTGGAATAAAAGACAAAAGCAAGGTTGCTTGTGGAGGTAGCCAGGATTTGGCCCTCAAAACAGGAATGCAGATACCCCAGGGGGCTGGCTCTGACCATGTCTTTCTACTTCAGCTCTCAATTCTCAGATGTGTGGGGAGGTAAACAGGGTAGGCTGACTCAAACCATGTGCATTTAAGAAATCATTTATCTTAGAATTCAGATTATGTTAAGTGATTTTCTTAGCAGAGCATTATGGGTTGTACTGTGTCCCCCTCCAAAAAGATAATGTTGATATCCTAACTTCAAGTACCTCAGAATGTGACCTTATTTGGAAAGAGGATCTTTACAGAAGTTATCAGGTGATAATGAGGTCACTGGTGTGAGCCTCAATCCAGTACAATTGTCTTTATAAAAGGAAAAAACTAGACACAGAGACAGCCACGCACATAGGGAGAATGCTGTGTAAAGATGAAGGGAGAGCTCAGGATGACAATAACTACAAGCCATAGAACATCAAAGGTCACTAACAACCAACCTGAAGCTAGGAAAGAGGCATGGAAATGATTCTCCCTCACGGCCCCCAGAAGGAACCAACTCTGCCAACATGTTATCTCAGACTACTAGCCTCCAGGACTAGGAGACAATAAATTTTTGTTGTTTAAGACACACTTTCGTAGTACTTTTCTACCGCAGGCCAGTTTAATATATGGAGTAGGAGCTTCCCTGTCTTAGTTCTCATTCATTTTTATTACAAAGTGTAGCATTTCCACTTTCTAAGAATGAATTAATTAATTATGAAAGATATACCAGGTATGCAAATTCAGTGGAAGTATGCTACACAGTACATGGTCTACCCAATCAATAAACCATCTGTATTCATTGGTTTTTGATTTCATATTTCTTCTGACTAAGAGTGACTTGTGGGCTAATTTGCAGCAAGTCAACAGATTGCTGGGAGTTTGAAAAATGACTCAAGCTTAACCCATGTGGTGTTCTGCACTTCCACACATAAAGTATTATCCAGGTAAGATGCAGATGCACCCCTGTGCCCACCCAGGCTCCACCATGTTCAGGCTTCTTACATGTACACTTTCAGGACAAGGTCATCCTTCGTCTCTCCTGTTAGCAGATCTGCGATGCTAAGAACCGCACAACCAAAGGGTCGCCGGTACTGGACGCTGCAGGCATTCTTTTTTTCTCCTGCTCCCATTCGACCTATCCAATTAAAGAGCAAACATGACTCATGGAAATATTTGATTAGATGCATCCAAATCAGAGACACACAGAACCACCAAGCAGGTCATACAAAACATAATTGGGTGATGGAAAGGGCATAGGATGGGGGCAAAAGAAGATTTCACTTTGCTTCAGGATTGCCTACTCCAGTCACCTTCCTCTCTGACTTTGGGCAAGCAGCATGAACTCTGAGCTTCAGCTGCCATCCATAAAACTATAAAAATTAGAGCTGATCCCATGTTTGGGAACCACTTTCCTTCTCTTATGATTCATGAAGAGATCCCAGAAGGACCACTTTATTAAAGGCAATCATGGTGCCTATGACATTTTCCACTTTCTAAAAAATTCCTTATTCACAAAACCATTTCAAAAAATTCACATCTGAAAAAAAGCAGTTGGAGAGACTCTGAATATAACAAGTAAGCACAGGTGACCAAATGAGCATGCCCCTGCCTCACTGTGCAGGCTGTGGATAACTTGGTTCATTACTGACATACCCTGGGACTGTGTTGACTATTACAAGCCTGAAAATTGTCATTTATTTGAAAATATGTTATCATTATTTTAATTTATTATTCATATTTAATTCCCATGATTATTTTAAAGACCCAAAGCATAAGGTATACTGAAGCTGAAATATAAGAAGTTAATATGGGGGAAAAAAAAGAAAAAATGCAAATTTGTCTCTAGATGCTGGTCAGCAGATCCATAAGTAGTTTCTATCTGAGCAAAATTCTATAGCATATCAAGATGTCTCTAGCTTTTCCAAAATCCAATGTTTTATATATATATATAAAACCCAAAAGGATGGTAGTATCCAGTTGGGTTTTTACTCATCACTACTAAAGAAAATTGGAAAACTATATGTGCAATATGTCACTTTCAGGGAAATGATTACAAATAAAATCCTGAAAACCTCTTATTTTATGGTTAGAATCAAAACTTAAAAAATGGACAACAGAAATCAATCACTTTTTAGATATGCAAAATGTAAGACTTTCAAATGTCATGTTTTCATGACCTTAAGCTATAGTCTGAAGCTAAATTTAAATATACACAATTTTAATATAATTTCTGCCTACAAGTCAAACATCTTGTAATGTCATATTTAAATTGGTTGATTTAATTCTAAAGCATTTGTGCTTTGAAATAGTGCAATCTTGATCAATATCATGATTTAAAATACAAATTTTATTTCACTTACTCATTCCTTCGTACATGCAAGATGACAAAGTAATTAGGAGATTTCTGAGAAAAGTGCTTCAAAGTTATTTAATATTAGAAAAGAAACTCATTAATTAAAAAAAATAGAAACTGAACATGAATATTCCTAAGGAATCTTCTAGCTCTGGCTTCCTACAATTTATACAAGGGCATAGCACACCTACCAGTCCTTTTTAAAACATCCCCTTCCTCTAGTACTGTGCTAAAGAAAAAACTATGGAGGAGGATTGAGAAATAAGGGGGGTGGGAGAAGGTCTGTTCTCAGAACTACTTGAGAAGGTGCTCTAGGGAGGCTTGCAATCTCTGCCACAGTGAAGCTTTGCTCCCTCCAAAGCTGCTTCTTCTCAAGTCTTCGACATGCAGTATTCAGTGTCCTTTCAGGACACTGTGGCACAACAGCTTTGCACACTGAGGCTTTGATCTAACTATTACACCAATGAGATGATACAGTGTCAGCCCTGGGGTTCCCAACTCCAGGATTAATAAGAATTCACAAGAAGGAAGATAGGAGGAATTGGGGAAGATAAAATATTCAGAGTCCAGCCAAAAGCCAAAAGGGGAAACAGAGAGGTTCAAAGAACTTCACTTAGGATGGGCAGGGGGATATAAAACAATTAATTGCTCTTTTTTCCTTCCTCTTCTTTCCAAATCAAAGGCTGGGCATAATTTTCCAGCATTGAAGTGTTATTGCTCCAACTTTCCAATGAGGGACAGCATGTCCTTTTTCCAATAAAGCAGGTACAAGGGACATTCTATAAAAAGAAGTATCTGTCCCTGAAAGATAACAATCTTCCACTCCTCAATTTTACTAAATCGAAAGAGGATGGCAGACAAAGTCATAACCTTTCTTAGAGCATTTTACCCTAACTTCATTCCTCCTCAGTTTCAAGCACTAAAAATTTCTTGCGTTCCTTTCAACAATTCCAGAGATTTATCTTTAGCAAACCTAGAGGCAGGCAGGTAGGTAATTTCTGGATCAACATTCATTTTGAATGGTGTCATGACCATAAAATCTTAGTAAAAAATGCAAGCACTAATCAAACACCAGGTATTTAAAAGGCAGCCCTATGACAGGAAACACTTTTGAGGTGGTTGCCTTAGCAATGAAGCTGTAAGAGGGAGACCATGGGCTTGAAGGGCACACACTCAGCAGCATGTTTTTATTTTTTCAATCAAATCGTGTAGATATTATCTAGAAAGTTCCAAAAGCAAAAGTGATTTACTTTTACTCTCAGTGCTTCAGATTATATTCAAGTTTTAGCAGTTTTACATAAAGATATCCCAAACTACATTTTAACAACTGGCATTACAATTTTGAAGTCATATCTATATATATAAATATATATATATATATATATATAAAAATTATACAAGAAACTGTATCATATCATTCTCCAACAGAGGTTTTAATCTCAAAAGTACATAGCAACATAGATTGCAACCTTTCCAAAATTTTAGAAGGTACTTTACAATTTTTCTCACATACTCATTTATTAAAGGAAAAATTAAAATGCAACACAGTTTAGTTTTTGAAATCATTCCTACTATCTTTCAAATACAAAAAATAATTTAAAATGAAAACAAATATTCTGAACACATTTTTACAAGATATATAGAGAAATCTATGTTGGAACGAAAGGTTTTTTATAGTCTCTCTCAATGCACAATGTGGTTGTTGCATGCGTAACCTAAAAGACTATAAAATTAAAGGTCATTTAGCATGTCTGTATGGCAAGCTATTACTGCACTGCAGAAGTATTTCCCTGCAAGTAAGGGAGCACAGTTAGTGAAGAATTGGGAACACATTTCCAGCATCGGCTGGTCAGCCTTATTAGAAACACTGCAGAAGCTGCACCATTCCTTATTTCACCCAGCTGCTCTGACCCAAAAGGTGGAAATATGTGGGAAAATAGAATACCAAAGTGTGTTTTGCAAGATATTAATAAATGCTACATTATATCCATGCTTTCACAGTCAAATCAGATTTGGGGGAAGCTGGGTCAACAAAGTTAGAGAACCATATTGATTTCTCCCTGTAGGACTTCTCAGACCCATTAATGAGCTATGACATTATAGCAGTTCAAATAATACAGTATTCAGCATCCCTTAAACCTCTTTTTGTAGAATCTTCTGTAATAATGCTTTATAACATTCTGCACTTAGGAAAGTGATAGCTGGTGTGAAGCTTTCCTCAACTTGTAGGAAACTCAGGTCCTAAAAGTTTACTTCATGCTATAAGAAATTAAAATTTAAAAGGACAAATACAAAATATTTGAATCAGATGTGTTTAGGAGATTCAAGAAAACAAAAGGGAATACAACAAATTCCTTAACAATTTACATAGAAAAAGATTAATATCTATTCATGGTAGGTGAGAAGGTTGTAATGTGAGGTTGGGGAGGCCAGAGAACAAATCCCGATTTCTGTGCTTCTGGATTTCACATTTCATTCCAGAGAGCAAAACAAACACACAAACTCACAAACACACAAGCACATGGAGACCTCTCAGCTATTTGCCTGTAAAACAGTGACAAGTGCAGTACCTACCAATTCGGATGATGTGCACGGTGATATAGATGTCCTTTCTTAGCTCGCTGCTACCCAAATCCTACCAAAAAATAAAGTTGGGTTATTTTAGAATTCATAATCTGCACCAGCACTTAAAGATTATAGTGCATTATTTTCACAAGAGCAGAAAGACAAAGATCAACATAAATATTCTTATTGGAATGTTTAGAGCAGAAGCACATGATTCAAATTCTGACATGATTCAAATTCTGTTCTAAAAATATCACTACAATCAACTTTGAGTCAACTGCTGTTAAGAGATGTTTAAAAGGAAAGACCATTGTTCATTCAGGCTCTCTCTCACATTTATGAAGCACATATTAAACACCAGGTGCCATGCTCAGCCCTATTGCTACTGAACTTTGGCAATCATATCAGAGCACCAAAACACACCAACAGAAAAATTAAAGGAGTCAATAATACCCTAAAGGAAGTACAGTAATTGTGAATGACAGTATTCACAATTTTGGCCATTAATGCAATGTATGTGTCACTTACAAAGTTTAAATCAATTCACTATGTTCTTTCACAATCTTTTATTTCTCCTAAATAATCTGAAGCACAGCTGGAAGAAGATACCTCGTTAACAAAAGAAGATTCACTTACCACAAAGAGAGAGCAATGTCGTTCTGGTTTATCTGGGGCTTTGGGAAGCCCATTTCTATTCAGTCTCAAGAAAAATCTCTCACTATAAGGGAAATAAAGGAATGCTTTGAAAATTATTTAATATTTATTCCTTTTCCAATTGCTATGCATTCTAAGAGTTAAGCTCAACATTTGTTAAGTTATTCATGTAATGTCAAAATTACCTATATAAATTCGGAGAGTACTGAAGACAATAAATATTTCCTTCACTTCTTATAAAATGGCAAAGTAGTAATTGCAAAAGAAAACATAAACAGGCAAAACAACTTTTAAAGCTGTAAGATAGGTTTCCCTATCAATGATACCATTGTTAGTATTCCAAAAAGTAGAAATAAATGCACAAAACCAAAAAATATAGCCTCATACTTCATGTGTTAGTACCTATCAAGATCATCTTCATGTTTTACATCATATTACTTCACTAAAATTAAGGGCAAGTAGCTTTATATTTTATGTTCTTCTAAGTCTATATAACTCAAAACACAAACAGAACTCCCCAAAAATGAAACTTGAATTTTATTTGATCTTTAAACCAAAAGATCTCAAACTTCATTGAACATGCATTTGAAAATACAGTGCCACCCAGATTTAATGCAAATACAAACATTGTTGTTGATCAGCTACTAATTCTAGACAATGATCACTTGTAGACACCATTTAGATTCAAGATCATGTATGACACTATTTATTTATGTTCAAAAAAAATAAAATGATTATCAACCCAAGGAAAATTAACCTACCAGCTACCATGAGCTTCAAATTCTAACTGAATTTCAATATCCTGGTGCCTATGATAGAATCAAAATGCTGGCTGCCTCAGGCAGAGAACACAAAGCCAATACCCATGGAATGTGTAATTATCACATGGTGGTGCAACCTTGGGCAGGCAGCTTCTGCCTAGGGAGCAAGCAGGGAAATGGAGTGCTGGACATCAATTAAAGGTCCAGAACCTACCAAGTCTCTGTTATTCATCACTAGATCCTTGGTTTAAACAAAGGATGTGCCATCCAAATTCACAGAAGGAGAAAAAAAATGATAACCATAAACGGATCTCTAAGGAAGCATATAGATTTGAATTTATGGCCACTATGGAAAACTTATTGTCTTTTGTGATCTAAATTCACAGAGATATATTTAACAGATCCAACTGCCTGGCTAACCTCATCTTTTTCTTATATTATGCCTATTTCTGACCTCTCATATAAAAAAGGGCAACCAATACACACTTCTATGGGGCCATTTCCATTTCTATTACCTAAGCTTTTTTTCCACAGAGCAGGTAGCTGATAAGGCATAAATGGAGAGAATACAAATTACCATGAGGAGCTTCAACTAAAGTCAAAGTTCCTATATAATATTATTTTGAAATGGACCCTGGGAATGACAGATACAATTGAGGGTGTGGAGTTGAATTAGTCTTATCCAACTGTCATTTACTATAATTTAAAAAAAAAGACTTCATCCTCTCTTCACAGTAGAAGAAAATTCAGTATTATTTCAAATTTAATATAAGATAAAAGAAAATATGCAAAAATGTATCTTAAGATAAAGGAATTGTATTTCCAACAGTCTAAAGTCATATTATTAGGTAATACTTCTGAGAATTCACCATTTGACAGGCACTCTGCTAAGGACTTCACATGAATTAACTCCTTCTATATTTACCTCATTCTTAGGAAGCAGATACTATTATGATAACCATTTTAAAGAAAGGAAAACTAAGATAATAAATAGCTTTGCCCAAGATCACAGAGCTGGTGTGTGACTGAGTAGAGATTCTATTTCATGTGTAAAGTGAAAACCCTCACACTTCATCTGAATATCATTGGTAAATTATATCTCTGCTCTACACAACCATTGAGCCGATATTTCCAGAATACTGAGATAAAAGCATTGTCATTTATCTACCTGGGATACCCACATGATTTAGTCAAGCTTGGTCTTAAAAGTTCAGGAAATTTCCCCCTGACCTGGACTAAATAGAAAGAAAGAAGTATCAATACTGACTGAGTAGGCTTCAAAGCAGTCTTTGGTAGGTTTTTTTTCTTAATGTTTTTTTTGTTGTTGTTGAAAGACTCTATTTTAATCATTTATTTATATGTGGTGCTGAGAATCGAACCCAGTACCTCACACATGTGAGGCAAGCTCTCTACCACTGAGCCACAAGTCCAGCCCAGTAGGTATTTTTGATTTTGAGACAGGGACTCACTAAGTTGCTTAGGGCCTTAGTAAGTTGCTGAGGTTGGCCTTGAACTTGTGATCTCCTATCTCAGCCACCAAAGCATGTAGCAGCACACTTGACTTTGGTAGGTTTTTTTTTTTTTTCAATGAAAAAATGACTTGATAAATAAATTATTCTACTAAACAAAGGTGAAACTCCAAAAAGAGTTTAAGAATTTGATTTTACTTTTAGTCAAAACTACTAAGGTTTAAAGCTGGCATTTGTATTTTCTAATTATAAAACACAAGCAATGTGAACATTTCCCCCTCTTCTGTATCATGAACAGTATGTCCTAACTTTACTTTTTTTTTTTTGAATTGTGTTTCTGCATGATACATTTAAACACTTATTCCCATTGAAACACTGGCAACAAATACCACATTACCTTCTGATAGGTCAATCCAAATGATGAATGCCAAGATTAATATATAAAAATCTATCAGGCATTTTAGACATTAAGTTTCAACTAAATATAAAATTTAAAACTAAGTGTAAAATATACACATATTCCATATACATGAGCTTTATCGATATTCTGGTAAAAATGTTTTCTTATGTATTCTATTTCAGAAAGAGATCCTTTTTGCTCTATAACAATTTTAATTTCACTTGTCTAGATAGAATCCTAATTATGAAAGTATTCTACTATATCATATCTTATTTCATAAAGAATATCAATATATACTAAGCTAATGACGTATGCCTTAGCTTAAACATGACTTCAGAGGGAGATAAAAAATAGATTGAAGATGAGTGCAGTGGAGGTAGTTATGTGCAAATTGTTTAAAAACAGTCTTATTTAAAAAGAATATCTCTGTGGTCAATTAATTTTTTAAAATTTATTTGGTGACATGATGCTGCTATACAAACTCACTTTCTTTCATCTTTATTGATATAGCAGGTAATCAATCAGCAAATGATTTTGGAGAGTGGGGAAAAGCCTACAGTTAGGCATTTTAGAATCTCTGGGTTATAATCACCTTCCATCATTCATATATTTGAGAAATACCAGGATGTCTACCTTCAAGGCCACGATAAAAATTGAACAAAGTTAATGATATTTCATTCAGACACATCTTCTAAAATTCTCTCAACTATGTCACATGAAGTTTTGTGGCTACACACAAATGTACTTTCGATGCTCTATCTTAAGTCTGCTTATTAAGTTGTTTGTTTTAAAAAAAAATTAACAAATCTACTTTTACTAAACTTAAAAAGTGTCCTATTATAAGATAAATATACCTGAATTACATTGTTCATGCTTCTTTCCTAACTTTAAGAGATTTGAGTGTTTCTTTCCTAGTCATTGACCATCTTCAGTTTCTACCCAATGATTTGGTATTCCTTGATAAGACTAAACAAATATACAATTTTAGGGAAAAAACATAACATTGTCAAAATAACTGAAAAGCTTTAACTCTCCCAAATGTTCCTTCTCTTTTTCATAATATCATTTTCTTTACTGTTAAGGAAATCTCCAAAATTTCCCCCAAAGTCATTTCAACCAATGCTATCCCACCACCAGATGTGAGATTCACCACATCAGTTTCATGGCACTTCTAAATTCTAGATCATGCCATTCAATCCTGTCCCAATGTAGATTTTATATCTTCATTATATTAAACATATAATAATAAATAAATCTACAGTGACTAAGGTTTTCTAATGACTCCCTCTTCTTAAAGATTAAGGAAATTGAATACTTGTAGAAAACCTGAGAAAAGAGAATTGATATTATCAGTACAGAAAAGATCATTATTGGCCTCATATACTGCCTCATGTTCTTCTAGAGTAAATTTCACTACAGGAAGCAATTTAGTGTCCACCTGTGTTTCATTATACATCATGATACTATAAATCAACAATAAATAATTCTTTCTCTGGAAATAAAGACTAACAAATCATAATTATTATTTATAACCTACCTTCTTCTGACAAGGATTTGAGAAAACCAAGATAATGTAATAAGAACAGAAATAAGTGTCCCCAACATAGCTCCTAGAGAAAAATAATAAAAGCAAATATGTACCTTCTGGTGCCAGACCCTGTAACTTTGGCTTTATGTGGATCTTCTCATTTAATTCTCACAACTACCCTAATGGGGTAGAACCTATCATGCTGCTTGCCTGACAAATGAGAAAGCTGGGTTTGAGATAACAGGTAAGTTGGCCAAAGTTGTATGGCCAGGCAAGGATGGAGGCAGGATACTAATATCCAGAGTCCAGCTCGAGTGTCTTGGCTCTGAACAACATGCAATCCTGTCTTTGAAAGAACAGCACTTCAGAAACAGAAAAAGATCAATACTAATTATGCCACATAAAATATTCTCCATAAAAATTAAAAAGTAATTACAAATGCATGAAGCCAAAAGATAAAAAAAATAAGCCACAACATGTGTGTGTTTATGAAGTTTATGCCTGCACAGCCAAACCACTGAAATTCTGATGTCCTGAAAAAGACCTCTAATAATGAAGAGTGTGTTTCAAATAGCACAATTTGGTAGAAATGGTTTTAGCCACGTTACATGTACTATAGGAAGCAGGGTGAGGATCTGAGGACTCCAATGGCTTCTCCTCTGTTTCTCAGCACATCTCAACCCCTCAGAAGCAGGCACCCTTCTGTTGCAAAAGCTTTACCTAGGGTCCTAAAGGACCCCAGGCCAGACAGATCTGGGAAGGTTCTTGTAACCTTCTGCATAATAACATCAAGTGGCTCCCCGATGGGGTGTCCTACTATAATCTGTTGCCTTCAGAAGGTAATGCAATTAAAAGATACTAGTGGCCAATATCAGAGATTTTGATATTTCAATCGAAATGTATTTA